GCGGCTTTAGCATCGCCGGGGTTAGTGGCGGGTCCGCCCCAGAGGTTTGCCAGGGCAGTTCCTCCAAGGAGTTGCACCGAGAGGTGCTTTTGTAACGCTGCTGCCTCGGGGAAGTGTCGGGCTGGAGAGCCCTTCGGGTTTAGAGGCGAGAGAGAGAGAAAAAAAAGCCAGCAACAGAACAGCAGCCGTGTAATTGTGAGGGAGAGGGAACTTGGAAGACTTGATAACACTGTTTTTGGGTTTTGTTTGTAACCTCGGGCAAAATGGGGCATTGCAGTAACACTGAGTAACATTGTAGTTGCTGAGTGGCAGGCGATTCGAAGGTGTAGCACGGAAGTGGAAAAAAAACACCCCAAACCTTAAATACTTTTTAAAAATCCCTGGATTATTGTAGAAACGCAGAATTAACTTTACGGTTGAGAAGCCTTAACTGCTGTGGTGTTTTGTGTAACAGCAAGCAGAACACTTAACATATGCAATTTTGTTAAAAATCAGTTGTACGTGTATGTATATGTGTTTTGTTGGGTTTTTGTGGGGTCTTTTCCCCCCTGTGTTGTTTCCAAGGTTGTTTTCGGGATTTTGCGTGGATGGCTTCAGAGAATGTTCCAGGGATAGATGAAGAATTTCAGGCTTTTGGTGTAATTAGGTGCTTCCATTATTTATAAAAGTTAATTAGATGGCTGATGATGAAACTGGAGCTATGTTAAAGCTTTTAGGATAAAGAAAGCTCTAAACCTGTGCATTTGAATCTCTTAGAATGTGTGGCATCTACGGAAATACAGAAAGTTTTGAACAAAAATAGGTGGGAATAGCCTTTCTGGCCTTCTTAGGTGTATGAAATTAATTTGCAGTGCCTTGTGCTTTTCAGTGATTTGAAGATAATTCTCAGCAACAAAATTGGAAATTCTCTTTTTCTCTAATGCATTTGTTTCTGTTCTTCAAATGGTCATATATGGCCCTAAATTAGCATTTTAATGGCTTTAGGTGTATTCATTATCAGTTACAGTCTAAAACTTGAGTTGGTACTTTATACAAATTAAATCATTTATATTAGAGCAGAACTGTTCTAGCAAAGCTGTGGTTTTATTGCATTTTGTAATGTTGAAGCTTTTACTCTAATGGACATCCTGCTCTTTCAGTGCTTGCTCATCAGTCAGAAATACAATCTCTGTATTTCTCAGCAAAGCATTTGAAGTTATAATCCCTATAATCCCTACAAAAGCAATTTCATATGCGGTCTATTTTGAGACTGTTCTGGTTATGGCAGCAATGTATTTTAGTCTGTTGTTGTGTTGGTTTTTTTTAATATTATGCTCATTTAATGAATTATTTAATGAGCTATTTTTTGTATTTAATGAATCATTATGTTTTATTTACGTTTAGACAACATTCCTCAGACAGTCTTAATAAATAATGTAAATTCTCAGTAATGCTATTTTTAGAAAGTTATGCAAATTCTACCTAGTTGTTTGATTGTGTTGTTACACTTGGTAGATGGTTGTATGAGTAACGCTGCTTTGAGAATGTTAAGTTTGAAGAGACTGGTGTCTTTTGACTGTCTCTCCTTGCCATCTGTTGTCGATTTCCAAGTTTAGAGCTTCTCCTTCTGCAAGAATGGTACCCTTTTTGCTTGCAAAATTACTACCTCAGAATTGCCCCTCTGAAAAAGGAGGAAGATGTAAGAGTCAAGCTGAAGAAGCACTAAACTCTGAGAACTGTTATTAATGGCTAAGTCTGAGATTTTGTAACAGATCAGCTATGGAGCAACCTCAGAGAAATTACATATTTCATGAAAGTTAAATTTTATTAAAAACATGACTGTTGTTAGATTATTTTTTTTTTTTAAAAAAAAGCACAAACAGTGAAAACAAAACCCAACACCTTGCATTCTTCCTGGAAGTCTATTTTTTTCAACCATTAGAGCTGTATAAGTGTCCAAAATGTAAAAGGAATGATTGATTAAAAACAAACAAACAAACAAACAAAAAAAAACCAGGAAGGATGTAGTCTAATGTTACAGAAACTTTCCGAAGTTCAGTTTTAGCACATCCAACTCTGTTAGATATGTCCTGTTTAACTGATAAGGCATAATGGCATTTTTTTCCCCTTTCCCCAGCCGAAAGGTAGAGAAAGTACCTTTTGGCCTGCTTATCCAGACTTGCTTCAGACCTTAGTCTTTAATAACAACTTATTGGCATCTCTAATCAGGCAAACAATGAGATGTCTGAAAACACAGGTTTCTGCTAAAAGCCTTGGGCTCCCGATGGCTGGATGGTGCTAGTGTGGTTTCATGGGTAAGTAGGGTGGTAGTTGGTTGTTTTGGTTTTTGGTTGCCAGAAAGAACTCTTCTTTTGGTTTTTTTTTCGGTATCAAATACAAGCGAAACTGGCTTTATGATAAGGTTTTACCATGACATGCCCAAGAGAATGAATTAACGTAATAGATAATTGTGTTCAGTTTAATGCCACAAAAATCTGTCTTAACAGTTCCACTGTACCAGTTGTTGCCATGCAAAGTTCTGCCATTTGTATGCTTTCAGTGTTAAACTTTGCTTCTAATAATGTGATGTATGATATTTGTAAATGCATTTGCAGGAATGAAGTGGAAGTCATCTGGATTCTTCTGTGCACTGCTGAGTCGAAATGACATTCATGTTTGTGGTCAATGGAAGTCATGGCAGCATCTAACATGGGAGGGAAAGACAGGAATGGACAATGTGGCGTGACTCGTTCAGATTGCAGATCTTCTGCCTGCTTCTGGCAGTACTGGCTATTGTGGTGCTGGTCCATAATTTTTTTCAGCTGGAGGTAAGTGGAGCCTGCTTCTTCTTCAAGAGGCCTTGAGCAACACGATTCCCCTTTAACTCTAAGGTTAGAATGGCAGCAATTAGCTACAACTTGGAATCACAAAATTCGGACTGGAAGGGGTGTCTGGAGGTATTTAATCAAACACCCTCCTCAGAGCGCTAACTTTAAAGTTAGCTTGGGTTGTGCAGTGTATTGCTGAGTTTTGACACTCTTCAAGGATGGTCGTTTCACAACCTGCTGGGGCAGCCTGTTGCAATGCTGCACCCCAGGGAAGAATATTTCTGTGATGTGCAGGTGGAAGTTGCCTCTTGTCCCTTTGGCGTGTACTTCTGACTGCACTTCCTCTGTAACTTGCCTTTAGCTAGTGAAAGACTGCAGTTAGATCCCCATTTGCTCTTATCTGGACTTCAAAAAAACAAAAAAAAACCCAAAACCACAAAATAAAAAACCCAACCAACCAAAAACGTCTGGTTACCTTAATGTCTCCTTTCTGTCATGTACTCTAGTCCTCTAATAGTCTTGGGGCTTCTTAGCTTGTCTCTCCAGTTTGACTGTAGTACTGGGTGTCCAAAACCAGACATGGTGTTCTAGGTATAGCTTCACCAAGGTCAAGCTGAGACAAGTTATAGAATCATAGAATCATTAAGGTTGGAAGGGACCTTAAAGATCATCAAGTTCCAACTCCCCTTGCCATGCGCAGGGAACCCCAACACTAGATCAGGTTGTGCAAAACCTCATCCAACTTTGCCTTAAAAAGCTCCAGGGATGGGGCATCAACAACCTCCCTGGGCAACCCATCCCATCTCCTCACCACCCTTATAGTGAAGAATTGCTTCCTAATATCTAAGCTAAATCTCTCCTCTCTCAGTTTAAAACTATTACCCCTTGTCCTATCACTATCTTCTCTGACAAAAAGCCCCTCCCCAGCTTTCCTGTAGCCCCTTTCAAGTACTGGAAGGAGCTATAAGGTCTCCCCAGAGCCTTCTCTTCTCCAGGCTGAGCAGCCCCAACTCTCTCAGCCTGATGCTGCAGTCACAGGAGCCATCCCACCAGGTCTCAGTGATGCCAATGAAATCACAGCCCTGCAGGATCACACTCATCTGTTTCCTCCAGCTTATTCCCCGTGCTGTGTGCATTTGTGTAAAGGCATTTAAGCTGGGCCTCCAGTAAGGTTGCCTGACTAGCTGACCTGACCACCACACCACTCCTAGACTCATCTGTAGTAAGCACTATGTAGTTATCACCATGCTCAATCAGCTGGTTGTGCTCTTGTTAATTCATTCCTACAACTATGCTGTTGACACATGGTCAGTTTGCTGCCCACCAGAATCCTTGGGTCTTTTTCTGCAGAGCTGTTAACTAGCTAGTTGATCCCCAGCCTATACTGGTGCAACTTTCTTTGCCTTTTCCTGTTTCCCGCTGCTGTGTCTGACCTGAATATTTATTCATTTTATTTATCATTTCAGTGCAGAGGTACTTTCAAACTGCATTAATCAATAACCCCAGATAAAATCAGCAAGGAGCAGTTCCAGGGAGCCTTGGAGGCTGACCCTGTCCATTGGCTGCCTGCCTGGCCAGACTGCTCACTGCAGCATTGGGTGGGTGAGCATGATAATGCTTCATCGGATGCTTCATTTGAGATCAAAGCCAGAGAAAGTCTTAGAAAACTTTTCACAGAGTACCTGTAACCAAATCTGTTCAGGCTCTGGAAGGAGGTTTTATTGTTGATTGCTGTTGAAAACGTGTTTGTAAATGCATCAGATGTGCTTCTCATCACCAGATCATCTAATCTGGGTGGCTAAAGCTAAAGAGTTCAGGCAGTTACCAGCTAGCCACCAGACACCCTCCCTGCTTTTTCTCTTTAGGATTTTATACTTTTTCATGTTAGAATCTTCCCTCTTGAATGCTTAAGCTACTCTCTCAATAGTCCCACCCATGTCAGAATTTTACTTCTCTTACCTATGTTTAAAAAAAAAAAAAAAGCTGTCTGCAAAACATTTAATAGTGTGCTTATTGTTTAATTTGCTTGTTACTATAGAGTAGCGCATCTATTGAGGTCCACAGCTGACCACTGCATTATTGTACCAGAAGAAATGTATTTTTTTTCTTTTTTTTTTTTTTTTTTCAAACACAGCTGGGCAGCTAAAATATTCCACATTTTTCCATGAAGTATCACAGTGTTGCTGAGGTGCAACATAATGGCTTTAGTGTACAGGAAAGTTTGTATATTTGTACCAATTACCTTTAAATCGAAGAACCGCTTCAGCATTGGTTGTCAATGTTCTTTTATTTAAAAGCACTTAGAAAAGAGAGTGTAGTGGGAGAGAGGAAGCTTCTTGCAAGGATAAAGGAGTGGTGTCTGGAACCAAGCAGCTGAAACTGAGCAAAATAACTATGTAACAAAGTTTTTTATTCTTCCTGCTAAATTGCAGGTGTCTACAAAATATAACAGCACCATCTTATTTGCATTATTGCTGGAACACTTGTCTATCAGGTGATGGCTTTTTGACACGTAGAGTAACTTGGCACCCACTCAGTGTTGTAAGGCAGGAAAGACAGTGAACTATCTTATGCCTGTCTCAGACAACAAATAGGGGTTAAGTACCTGAAGTGTAAAATTCCTGTAAATGAGATGACTGACCTTTCAGTAATTGTTATTTGTTCAGTTTCAAATATTGTCTGCTGTGTAAATTAAGACTCTAGTGGGCAAAGTGGAACTTCCCTCCTGTCTCTCCTGGGTATGTGTGTGGTCTCCATTCCTGACACCTGGGAAGCTTCTGTGATGTTTCCTGCTCTAATGTTAGTGCCTTATCATAGAATCACAGAAGGGTTTGGGTTGGAAGGGACCTTAAAGATCTTCTAGATCCAACCCCCTTGTCATAGGCAGGAACACCTCCCACTAGACCAGGTTGCTCAGATCTCCATCCAGCCTGGCCTTGAACACTTCCAGGGAGGGGGAATCCACAACTTCCCTGGGCAATCTGTGCCAGTGTCTCACCACCCTCATAGTGAAGAATTTCCTCGTAATATCTAACCTAAATCTACCCTCTGCAAGTTTTAAGCCATTATCCCGTGTCCTCTCACTACAGGCCCTTGTAAAATGTTCCTTCCCAGCTTTTCTGTAGCCCCTTCAGGTACTGGAAGGCTGCTATAAGGTGTCCCTGGAGCCTTCTCCTCTCCAGGCTGAACATCCCCAACTCTCTCAGCCCTTCTTCATAGCAGAGGTGCTCCAGCCCTCTGATCATCTTTGTGACCTTCCTGTAGACTTGCTCCAGGAGCTTCATGTCCTTCTTGTGTTGGGGCCTCTAGAATTGGACGGTACTGCAGGTGGGATCTCACAGCAATTGTTCCAAATCATAGAATCATAGAATCTTAGGGCCTGGAAGGGACCTCGAGAGATCATCTAGTCCAACCCCCCTGCCAGAGCAGGGTCACCTAGAGTACATCACACAGGAACTCATCCAGGTGGGTTTTGAATGTCTCCAGTGAGGGAGACTCCACAACCTCCCTGGGCAGTCTGTTCCAGTGCTCTGTCACTCTTACAGTAAAAAAATTTTTTCGGATATTCACCTTGAACCTCCTATGCTCCAATTTACACCCATTACCCCTCGTCCTATCACTGGTCATCACTGAGAAAAGCCTAACTCCGTCCCCCTGACACTCACCCCTTACATATTTGTAAACATTGATGAGGTCACCCCTCAGTCTCCTTTTCTCCAAGCTAAAGAGACCCAGCTCCCTCAGCCTTTCCTCATAAGGGAGATGTTCCACTCCCTTAATCATCTTTGTAGCTCTGCGCTGGACTCTTTCGAGCAGTTCCCTGTCCTTCTTGAACTGAGGGGCCCAGAACTGGACACAATACTCCAGATGTGGCCTCACCAATGCAGAATAGAGGGGGAGGAGAACCTCTCTTGACCTACTAACCACACCCTTTCTAATGCATCCCAGGATGCCATTGGCCTTCTTGGCCACAAGGGCACATTGCTGGCTCATGGTCATCCTCCTGTCTACCCGGACCCCCAGGTCTCTTTCACCTACACTACTCTCCAGCAGTTCAGCCCCCAACCTGTACTGGGACATGGTGTTGTTCTTCCCCAAATGCAAAACTCTACACTTCCCCTTGTTGAACTTCATCAGGTTTCTCCCCGCCCAACTCTCCAGCCTATCTAAGTCTCTCTGAATGGCAGCACAGCCTTCTGGTGTGTCAGCCACTCCTCCCAGCTTAGTGTCATCAGCAAACTTGTGTACTAGGCCAAGCTAAGAGTTACAGCTGGTGGAAGATACTGGACTTGGAGTTCCACCTTGCCATCAGTGGTTGAAATATCAATAATTTTTATCAGGCACTAACATTATTGTGTTCACTGACGATAAGTGTTCATCTACTAACCCCTCCAGAATATATTTTAGAGCATGATTGTCTGGGTGAGGCTGTGTTATATCTAATTTTTTGCTTAGTTGGCAGCTAAATGCTAACTAGTTGAGCTGAAGCTTTTGTCAGTTCTCCTCAAAAATATGTCTTCCTTTTTTTCCTTTTTGTGGCTTCCTTCATGCACCAGGAACAGCTGTGGATTTGTTTGAGCTTCATGGACACGTAATCCATTCTGTCCTGCCTGTGTTACTTGGCCTACATCCATTACATTACTTTGTGATCATACTTGGGTTCTGGTTAACTTCAGAATGCAGCAAATAAAAAATAGTTTAAAAGCCCAGGCAAGGAAACAAACAAAAAACCCCCCAACAACAAACCCTGCTGCACACAAACTAAACCAATCCCTCCCTCCACTTTGCAATTGCCTTCAGAATCAAGACACTTTGAATGGAGTATATGGAAATAAGAAAAGCAGGGCAAGTATTATTCAATGGGGAGATTGTATTAAAAACTAAAACTGTGTTGTAAGATAAAGGAAGATGACTCTTCAGCAGTCTTGAAAAATGCTTTTTATCTGCCCTACTTAAAGAAATTTTACTTTATTTTGGAGAGCCCATAGCTCTGTATAGGCTCAATATGACTTCAGGAGCCAGGGAGATTTAGAAATGCAAATAAAAGACAGAGTAGGGAATGGAGTGGGGACAGACTATGCTATTAATCTGCCTCAGGGCAAGCCATGTGTATCCATAGGGATAGGACAGCACTTGAGCACTTATTTGGAGATGACCCTGTGAAGCACTTAAAGAAACATGGTTTGAAAAGCCTTTCTGTTCCAGTCAAGGATCTTAGGTATATTAATTGATTCTTAATCTTTCCCTGCCTTAACTGGAAAATGAAATTGCTGTAGTATTTTCTCCTGAGAACAGCATACATGATGTAGTTTGCTTTCACATAGTTCTGTGTTAATATATGATCCTGTTTGGACTTGGGAGAGGGCTGTAAAGATGAACAAGGATGTTTCAGAAAGAATGGTCCTTCAGGATGCTGAAGAACCTTTGGTTCTACCTTTACAGAGGTTTTCTTTTTTCCCTTGAAGACTGAGAAAATATTTGAGGTATGATCTGTTTTGCTTAATGGATTGTAGCCTGGAGGTGCTGGAGTTGAAATGACAGTACATGTTCAGGACCTCAGCTGCATTCAAGTGAAAAGCTTTGGCCTGGTGCTTTACTAAGAAGGTGGACTGTTTTAGAGAGATTGAGTGTGTTCTCTGTTGTGTGTTCTGAATGTACGTGGTTGTTGACTTGGTGTTATCTGCACCCATTTCCACTGAAAGATATAAGTAGGCCCTTGGAAAGACTTCAGAAAGGCCAGCTAGGCCATAAATGACATCATATACATCTCTGACAGAAAGATGGGGTTGAAAACCCTGAAGAAATTTACAGAAGATTAATATTCTTGTTGACTGAGATATGGTTACCAGCTTGTTGAATGCATAAAAATATATAGCTGACTTTTAAAATACTTCCATGCAGTATTTTCTGTTATGTATATGCAGGAACTAGTGAGAGAAAGAAGTTGTGAAGGTATCCAAAAAAAGAAACTTGACTTAATTCAAGAAAACATGTAGACAGGATATAAAGTCAAGCTGTATCTGAGATTATTCTCAGTTTTGCCTGAAATTTACTGGATTAATAAAGGTAATGTGCAGTGATATGTTGGCTTTTTTGCCTGCTGTGATGGAAAATACAAATATTTTCCGATGACCTCAGATGGCCTTCAGGGAAAATTTGTTAAATCCTAGGTAGAAATGTAAAACAAAAACATTTATTGTGATGATAACATTTTGCGTATTTGTGGCTACCAGTCAATTTACAGTTAATATTTAAAATGTAACCATTTACAATTTCAGATTTTGTAGTTAACATGGATATCAGAGATAGATTCTGTGTATCCATCCTACATCCTAGTGTGGTCATTATCCTCTTACACTGATCAAAACCAGCTTCTTATTTAACAGGCTTCAAAAGCCTGTACATTTCTATTGCTTGTTAAGTTTACCTTTATTCTAAAAAAAGTATATTGAATCTCTTTGTTGTTCAAATGACGCTAATATACTGGCAAATTCAAATCAAATGTGTGTGTGGGGAAACTACTTAGTATGTACGTGTACTCTAGATGATATTTCAATGGACTAAGAAAGGTTTACTGCAATAAATAAGACTTTAATGGGAATTCTAGTACATTACTGAGCAGTTAATTATGAAGGAAGTGACTGGGAAACAGTACGATATCGGTAAGTACAATGTATTAAAAAAGTAAATTGATTAATATAGTTCTAATTTTTATCAGTCTCCCAAATCAAAAGTAGCATATCCTCTGGTGCCATGTGAATGGTACATTATATCATTTTCATCATTGTTTGAATAAAAAATTGGCAGATTTTGCTTTTCTGTGAAATATGAGTATAGATAAGTTATACTATATGTATCTGATTAATTAAGTACTTATTAACTGCTGATTTTTGTGCATATTTGGGGTGTAAGTTTGGATTTACTGATTTTAAAAAAAATTTTGTAATGCAAACCTGCAAAACTGTGTGATATCATGAACAAAATGGTATCTGTAATCATTTGCATAAACATTCAGCTTTGGACACCGATCTCAAGTCACAGCAGAAGCCCCCTCTCTTAGACTAGCATTGTGTTTAACAATTTTAATTTTTAAAGTAGTGTGGATTAAGGGGTGCTTTGCTTGTTTTTATTTGGCTCTAGAAGAAGCTGTATATAGATTTAAAAACCTTAAATCTTTTTTTTTGCTTGTTTAGTCTTAGCTTGTGTAAGCTGTTTTACTTGCCCAGCAGTTACTGAATTTGTTGCTCCTGAAGTAGTCCTTCCGTTTTTTTCAATCTGTATGTTACAGGGAAACCCACATTTCAGATAAGATAAGAAGCAATTTGAGTGTGACCAGATAAGTCTGCAGCTGCCACATGCAGCAGACTTCTCTCAAAGGCACATGCAGGGGATGCATCAGATTCGTCTGCAGTGTAAAGTCTCAAATAAACCCTTTTTCCTTGCATTATATTGGGAAGCTACTAGACATCGTTGTGCCTGAAGACTCAAATGATCCCACAGTAAGAAAATAAAAGAGGAGTTTACAATTTAATCATATGATCTTTTGTAATTTGTTTATTTTTTCACATTGCTGATATTTGCAGGATACACTGGTAGCCAGAATACTGCCACAGAAAATATTTGGCCTGATTTATAGAAAAGCCTCTTTGCCAGAGCAGGGTAACCACAGGTTGCCCACCTGTATTCTTGGAAAACCCATGGTTCAAATAATAGATTTGTATCTTCTAGCAAAGTTGCTTAATTTGGTCAGCTTCAAAGCTGGGTAAAGCTCAACCCAGTTCTTGGGATAATTTCCTGACAAAGGATTCATTATTCATAGTGCTTCATTTCATAACACAGTTAACAGCATCTTTGTCCTCCCCAGCACCTGGATGATAACGCAGTCTCAGGATCAAGTTGGATAACAGAAGACAATGTCCATCATTCCCGATCACAGACAACCAAAACTACCAGGAAGCCTTTCTGTGGTTATAAGCAGCAGATTTTGTCCAAAAGAGAACAAGCAGAACAGGAATCTTTGCTTGCTGCAATACAGTGGCCAAAACCCCCTTATGGAAAAATTGCCTTTGAACAAAGCACTGATCCTGCACAGAGTGACTTTGTAATTGTGAAACCCAGTGGATTCTTCAAGGTGGGTGATCAGTTAGAGGTGCTCGTGCGCGCGAAGGATTTCCAAGGAAAACCCAAACAGTATGGTGGGGACTATTTACAGGCACGAATTCACTCTCCTCTGCTGAAAGCTGGAGCAACAGGAAGGATTGTAGATTGCCATAATGGCCTTTACAAAGTCTTCTTTACTTTGCTTTGGCCAGGAGAGGTCAAAGTTTCTGTGTCACTTGTCCATCCCAGTGAAGCAATACAAGTCCTCCTGCGTTTACGAGAAGAAAGGCCAGACAGGGTCTATTTCAAAAGCTCATTCAAGTCTGGGAGGCATTTGGAGACCACTGAGTGCAATGTTTGTTTGTCTGGAGACCTCCCTGTCTGTAACTTCACAGATCTCTACACGGGTGAGCCATGGTTCTGTTACAAGCCTCGAAAACTGTCCTGTGCCAGCCGGATCAGCCATGCCAAAGGTGGATATCAAAAAGGTCTTCTGACACAAGAGGAAAGCCTCTTTTTCCAAAGGTATGAATATTGTTGAATGTATATATACTCAGTCAAGTAATTTGATTTTAAAGACAAACTTTAGGTTATTGGTGAAATACGACAGGTTGTCTGAGAGAAGGTGTGTACCTGCAGGAGCAGGTGGTTGATGTAGGTTGTTGAATATTCTTTTTCCCTCTATTCAACCGTGCAAAAAAGAACACAGTAATCTTAAACTAAGGAAACTTGGAGTATAGTTCTCTCTCTGTGCTTGGAATTCGATTTTGAAAAAATGCATCTTTTAGTGCAAGGGTAGACGTGGTAGGACTGCTTCAGCTGAAATGAGACAAAGTTAGCTAAGGTCTAGTGGCAGAACTGTAGTTGAAGGCTACTGCTTTGCTCTCAGAAAAAGGAGTTCAAGGGAAATGTTTCAGCAGTATGGCCACTTGAGGATTAAATTAGGAAATGTTTTGGAGTAGCAGCTCCAAATAGGTTAATTAGGAATGTGTGTGTGCATGTTTGTCACTGAAGACCAGAAATCAAAATTAAGTATCAGTGGCCTTGGGGTTTTTTGGCTATTTCTCACTGGGTTTGAAAGTGGGTCTTTTGCCTTCCCGTGCCTCAGGCAGTTCATCTGTAAAACAGGGTTGATACTGGTGGCTGTTGCTTTCAAATGGGAGTGTTTTGGGGTTTTGTTTTTGTTTGTTGTGTTTTTGGTTTGTTTGTTGGTTTTTGGTTTGTTTGGTTTTTTGTGGAGGTTTTCTGTTTGCTTTTTTGTTTTTCGGTTTGTTTTGTTTTGGTGGGGGGTTTTTTGTGGTATTTTTGCAGTTGTTTATTTTTGTTTGTTTGTTTCAAAAAAGTTCATTCTTTAAATAGACAAAAACATTAGACAAGGATTCTCTTCAAAACAGCAACAGAAGACAGAACAAGAGCCTAGCATTATATCTCTGCATCTGCCAGAGCTGTACAACAGAGATATGAGTCCAGCACAAACTTACCAGAATTCATCGATGTCCACAAACACTTTCTTGGTGTTTAGTGGGATGAGCTTTGTTTCTGTATTCAGCAAATCACTGTCGTACTGGAAAACCTTATTGCTGGAGATCTTGGAAGCTGGTTGGACATGAGCTGGTACTACCGTCTTTCCCAGAGGCTGGAGACACCACTGCTAGTAGCCTGGTCTGGTTTGGTGATGATGCTGAACTGCCGCAAGCTCTGCTGTGTACTGTGGAGCAGGCTGTGGGATTAGGGGGCTGAAAGTGATAACTGCCTCACCAGAGGTGCTTACTGTGCTAAGCCCCTGCAGAGGGTAGGCAGAGCTGGGAGCTGCAGCAGCATAACCTTTCAGTGGTTTCTCCCCTTGGTCCCACGTACCGAAAACTGGAACTTCCCCTAGAGTCACACACACTGGTTTGGGTTGGAAGGGACCTTAAAGATCATCTGGCTCCAATCTTGCTGCCATGGGCAGGGACACCTCCCACTAGACCAGGTTGCTCAAAGCCCCATCCAGCCTGGCTTTGAACACTTCTGGGGGGGGGGCAGCCACAAGTTCTCAGGGCAACCTGTGCCAGTGTCTCACCGCCCTCACACCGAAGAATTTCTTCCTAACATCTTAACCTACCCTCTTTCAGTTTAAAACCATTCCCCTTCACCCTATCACTACCTGCCCTTGTAAAAAGTCCCTCTGTTTATCATCTTTGTGGTAAATCCCCTAGAGCTACTTGCAGACCTTGGCAGCTTTATGTAGGTTTGTGCCAGGAAAAATATGCACAAGATTTGTGACCTGGTGCTGTGAAATTTTGAATTGAATTCACAACAGTCATAGTGGTCTCGAGGAAATTAATACAGAATGAATGTGCTATAGGAGATAGGGTCAACTTATAGATAGAAATCCTTCGTCAGTCCGATGTGCTTATTTGAAGTAAATTAAGAAAAAAATGAAATTAATATTACCTTTAAATTTTACAGTAAATTTTACAAATACTATCTTTTTTTCAAGTGACGTGAATATCAAAAGGTCAATACTCTCCAGTGGACCTGATTCAGTGATTGTAAAGCCCGACGCATTTCCAGGTAAGGTGAACTTTGCATGAATCTTGTTTGTAATTAATAATTACATTTATTAAAAAGAACCAACAGGCATGAGGTAATAATTTATTTGTTTGTTTTTATAGCATGGAATAAAAATTAAGTGATACATTTCTATTAAGAAGATGAAGGCTTTTGGATGTTACTGTAATTTAAGTGCAACACTTAATTTTCTAACATAACAAATGGGATTTTTAGCAAAAAGTAGTTTAAAAAGTTTGTTCTCTTGCCGAAAGTCTTTTTTTTTTTTTCCTCTAACATTTTTTTTACTCAGAGATGCAAAATGTCTTACAATAACTGTTCACCAAACTCTCAAATTAATCTAAAAAAACCAACTGTGTGGTGTTTCTTAACTTTTTCTTTTTTGTCTGACATATTTTGACAATTTGTATCTAAGTACTGTTACCATTTGTGTTATCACAAGGTGTCTGAAGCTACAGTTGTGAACCAGAACCTAATTGTTCTGTATACCCTGACTGAAGACAGAGCAAGAATACAGTCCATGCTGAGTGAAACTCATCCTTTATCTCATTCATATCCATGTGCATGTTTTATTTGCCTTTAATAAGCCTGCATAACATGTGATACATAGAGAATTACTTCTTAATCAAAAGCTTTTAAGATGCCTTGTTGTGGGGGTTGTTTTTGTTGTTGCTGTTGTTTTTTAAATAAGGTTGTAGGAGACTTTAAAGTTCCTGACTTGAGCAATAAAGTCTGAACAGAAAACAGCCTACAGCATTTCTTGGTTTCAGTTTTGCTGTTCACTAAAAAAAGACAGAACGCTGCTATTTGGCCAGCAGCGCTTTCCCACTTTTCTTTCTCTAGCTCCTTTAGATGACATGGATTTTGTTACTTTTTTTTTTCCTTGCTACAAATTTGAAATTTGATTATATTGCCTATTATTCAGAAGTTACAGATGTTCAAAGGTTGTACACATTTCCTGAAGGTTACTGCTGCGTTTTAAACAGCTGATAGGAGTAACACAGTATTCCTTTCTGAAATTCCTTCTAAGAACAGTTTCTGAATAAATGAACTTAACATATTGGTGTGCTTATGGATGTATGGATTTGTTTGTACTGATAGCATACTTTAATTATTCTGCTGTTAATTTTGCACATACATTTCTGTTTGGGGGTAAGTGTAGATCAAGTTGGTTTTTAAGTTGTTTTTCTGAAAGACAAGATTTTTGCTATATTCTTAGTTTGTAACTATGCAGATTGAAACTTTGATTCTCTTCTGTAAAATCCAAAAGTAATGGCTTTCTGAATTCTAGACCTCAACTGGTATGTTAGTATACACAGATTTAAAATGCTGGTGTTGGGTTTAGTGTGAGGCACCAAAAAGTGGTTCTAGTATTGTTTTTATATATGTATGTGTAGTCTGAGAACCCATTTAAATGGTAAAAATGGGAGTATTTTTACATCAAAACTTAAGAAACAATGAACTGAAGCTGCGAATTTGCATTATGATTTCCTTTTTAATTATATGATCACACGAAGAATTTTTTCCTTTGTAGGATTCCTGTTTCATACATATTGGATGCGTCAACATTACTAGTTGGGCTTTTTCTCTTCCTTCATTGTCTCTGTTACCTGATTTAGAGAGTCATCCAAAGATAAAATTTTCTAATAGCTTTTTCTGTGGTACTCACGACTATAGTCTTTGTGTTACACAAACATAGTTGTAGTTCACTCTTTGCAGTGTTCCTGCAAGGTCTAAGGAGGTTAACATCTACTTATGCAAGACACAGACTGTTGTACATGAGCTGTGAGACCAAAAGAGCCTGCTAGGAATGAGTATTTGAAAAGGCTTATGGCCTTTTGGTTTTGTGTTTAGATTTTGGCTACACCCATGTTACAGTGAAGCATCTGCCAGAGGATGCTTCTGGACGCTGGAATTCCACTGCCTGTGCTTGTAGGTACATGGGCCTGTTGTGATTTTGGCCATGGCAACGTGTGCTTTCGCAACAGCGGCAAGTTAGGACACGCTGGGGACTGTTCTTAACGGGTGGTCTCCACACGAGAATGGACAAAAGTGTTTGAGCAGCAGGGGTTGGTGTGAGGAACAGCTCTGAGCTTGTTCAGCTGAGGTGTTTGAATGCACGTGTGGTGAAGGAGGAACGTGTAACGACCCCCGGGAACTTCAGTGTACATGTGTCACATGGGATGCCAATTAAAATACTGATATAGCCGTGGGATTGCAAGATCTGTTCCCATCATCTCTGGCCCTTGCTTGCAAGGTACCATCCAGCTTCCGCAGCCCCTGTGTCCCACGGAGCAGGGCTTCCCTGGTGCCAGCCTGGTTCCTCCTCGGGTGACCGCCTGCCCGGGGCACTGAGAGGAGAAAGGGCTGGATAGAGAAGTGAAAGCACGAAATCCGTGGAATTAGAGAATCCATGTGTAATTCCCGTGTTCAAAGGACACACAAAGTTCCTGTTGAAGTTCATTCCAGCACTTCCTACTTCTGGAGTCCCTCCGCTTCAGCCTTCGCTACCCTAGCGCGGAGCAGGAGTGTCAGTGTCTGTGTGTCTGTGTTATTCCACAGACGGGTCGTCTTTATTCTTTATTTTCGCTGTGTTTCTGGGCCGGTCCGGGTCCCCGCGGCGGGGCCGCTGGGCGGCAGCAGCGACACACGGCCCGGGAGGGAGGGAGGGAGAAAATAAGTCACAGAATCACAGAGCGCGAGGAGTTGGGAGGGACCTCCAAAGATCCTCGAGCCCAACCTCCCCCCCTCCCCGCCAGAGCATCCCTGTCAAGCCAGGCTATAATTGTTCCACCGCCTCTGTCGGTAGCTGCAGGTCTTGAGGAGAAAAAGGGGATGAAATCTGTGATCTTGCAGAAGTACGATGCGTGAAGGGTTTTAATCCAGGTGGTACATCATGCTCTTCTCGCTTTTAACTAAGGAGGATGCTCCTACACTGCTGGCTGGAAGTCCATGAAGGCTGTGGAGGCTGGTTTTGTTGTATGTTAATTGCAAATAATTTTTCTCTTTCAGTTTCAAGCAGTATGGACGGAGCTGAAGATCCCACAGCTTCCCCTTCTGGTTATTATTATGAAGACCAGTGGAGGTCCAGAACACACTGGATTCATCATTTTGACAAGTCAGATAATATAACCAAGTGCTTACAAGGAAAAGTAATCCACTTGTTTGGAGACTCTACAATAAGGCAGTGGTTTGAATATCTGACAGCATTTGTTCCAGGTTACTTTTTTTTTCTTTTCCTTTGGTTTTGTCCTGGAAGACCCTTGCACACCTTTATTTCTCACATCTCAGATACAGAATTGATCTTATTGAGTGACAATGACAAAATAGCAGAAGAGGAAAGGCAAAACATCATAAGAAATCCTGACAGAAAGGCAGTTAGTCAGATGTTTGAGCAGGCACTGGAAGCTTGTAGGCATTGGAAGTGGGGCCACTGCAAAGTTGTCCTATGTCCAATGTCTTTGTTCCACCAGTGAGGACAGTAGCTGTGGCTGCCAGTCAAGGTGGCCATTGGAGGGCAAGGCAGAAGTCACTTCAAGTGTCTGCGTGAGGCCCTGCAGCATCCCAGTCACAAAAGTGACTTTTGAATGAAGTAACAATTGACTTCTCTTACTGTTAATAGGCTTTAGTTCCTTTTTTGTATTTCCCTTATTATAAATTAAATAGCAGGATTTTGGAAACCGACTTTATATTCCTCCCTCACCCCTTACCTTTAAAGCAGTTAAATAGTGTTGGAACACAAATTTTGAGACCACTTAATACCTACAAATTGAAGTAATTTCTAAATTTATTGGAGTCCTAAAGTAGCCAGAAGGGACTCTGGAAAATTTATTTTTTATGAGAGGGAGAAGAAAATGATTTGGGAAACATGGGAAAGGCACTGACAGTCTTGTGCAGCTGAAGTGTGCTGTCTTGTAAATTTCAATATGCGTAAATTCCACTCTGAAATACTGAGCTAGCACTCATGTGATGCTTGTCTTATGTTTCATTTCAGAGTTCCTAGAATTCTGTTCAGATTTCTTGATCTACTGCTACTTTTACCTGGGGGTGCTAGCCTCCTGTTGATCATTTCAGTCTCTTATGCTGTCTTTCACTAATGCTTGCTCCTGGTTTTCCAGATCTAGTGGAATTTAACCTGGGGAGCCCTAAGAACGTGGGCCCTTTCATGGCTGTGGACCTGAAGCACAATATCCTCCTGAAGTTCCGCTGCCACGGGCCGCCCATTCGCTTCTCGACAGTCTTCAGCAGTGAGCTGCGCTACGTTGCCAATGAACTGAATGGCATAGTGGGTGGGAGAAACACGGTGGTAGCCATAACTATATGGTCCCACTTCAGCACCTTCCCTGTGGAAGTCTATATCCGGCGGCTGAGGAACATTCGGAGATCAATCATCCAACTGCTGGATCGCAGCCCCAAGACTTTAATCATCATCAGAACTGCTAATGTTCAGGCGCTTGGGCCAGAAGTGAGCCTCTTTAACAGTGACTGGTATTCCTTTCAGCTTGATTCTGTCATGAGGAAAATGTTCTCAGGAATTGCTGTGCACTTTGTGGATGCTTGGGAGATGTCTCTGGCTCATTACTCGCCACACAACTTGCACCCAAATGAAATAATTGTTAAGAATCAAATAGATGCATTTTTATCTTATGTGTGCCCTCTGCAAACTTAGTACAAATGGGTATCCCAATGTCATCTTTTGCTGTAGCTGAAGTAAAGTTGCTCTTTATCAGAGCTATTGAGTTATGCCAGACAGTATGGGAGAACTCTGGTAATTGCACTTGCATGCAGTACAGGCAGGGTGGCCTTAACTCTGGGTAGCTGTGAAGGCTGGTACAGAGGAGCTGGCTGTTCAGGCCATATCTTCCTGCAAGGTTGATTCCGTTCAACCTGACTGTTCACATCTGAGATTACTAAAGAGCACCTTAAATTAAATACACAGGAGTCAATAAGAAATTATGTGGGTTATTAGCTTTACTAGTTGTCTGCACTGTATGCTTAATTTACCCATATGACACTGATTCTGTTACCAGGGTCTTGCTGCTCAGAACTGTGTATAAAACCTGGGAAGGCTTGTGAGAATGGTGTTTCTCTCAATGTTCCATAGTTTGAGGGACATCCCCTCTAGTTGTATGTCAGAGAAGCACAGTGTGTGTTCTTGTTTCAAAGTCCTAGCTAGAAAAAATGAAGGAAGTGTACCAAAATCACTATTATCAATCAAAGAAGCACAATCAAAATATCTGTAGCATTAAGTCATAAAGAATTTGCTGAAATTTAATAGGGCATGCTACTTAGGCACCCTGGGAGTTACAAATGGCTGCTAAATAATGCAAATGGCCACTGTTTTGGTTTCCTGTACTACTAAGTCTCTTCTGAGCCATGATGCACTGTCTACTTACTGGTTTATCTGTATTGGAGAAATGCATATACGGTGACTTCAGTGAAGACACTGCCTCAGGCAGTTTCTCCAAGATCAATTTGCAGGCTCACCTACTTGAAGCTAGAAGCATTTACTAATTAAAGTGTTTCCCATCCCTGGAAGTTAAAGCTATTCTGTTATGTTCCTGCAAAGTTTGGCTTCTGGGAATTACTTATTACATCACTCATTTATGTCTGTACGGGGAAACCAAGTGACCTGAATATGCACTTGGCAGCTTTTGGTACTGGGTAACAGTAACTGGCACACGCTAGTGTCAAGGCCATGCAGTGATGCCCCTCCTGTGTGTAGCGGTTGTGCCACTTAGCCATGAGCTTTACTGCTGCCAAGATAAAAGGTCAAAAAAATTACACCCAAAAGCAAAACATGCACAGGGTTGCCTTGCATGCAGCTGCTTGGTAAATACCGGCAGTTTTGCTGGTGTGAAAGCTGGTGGCTCTTGGGCCTCTAGGGATGGAGTTTGCTGCTGATGATTTGATTGTGCCTGTCTATGGTTTTAACTAGTAACACTTTGAAAACAAGGTTTGGTTAAATTCAGCCCCCAGATTAAACAGCAGAGAAGTGTTCCATGTTGTCTTATTCCTTGTCCCACTAAGGTAGTATTTACTAGTGGCTTTACTGGGAAATGTGTCAACAGTAGTGGAGAGCTTCTGAAGCAGCTCGTTGTGCTTAGGGAGAATATGAAAGTTGAGTCTTTGTGAACAAACAGAATAGATTATTAAGCAAAATTGGTAGGTTGCACTGAGTAGAATAATCAAAAAGTCTTCGTAGAAAAAATGTTTTACTCTTTACTGGGTTTGCTGCTATGTTAGGAAGACTGTGCACTTACTGCTGGAGCCCCAAGAGAGTTAATGCTACCAGCTAGAGGAGCAGTTTTTTGGGGTTGTTTTTGTTTGTCTCTGTTTTGAGGTATTTTTTGGGGGGGGGTTGTGGGTTGTTTTTTTGTTTGTTTGTTATTTCATTTTGAAGGGCAACTGAGAACTGTTCTAAAAACAAATATAAATGCTTTTAGCATGTAAAAGTTGTCAGTAGCATCCATCTGCAAACTTAACAATTTTAAAATTATTAGAACTGACTGGAAGAGTCACGTACATGGAAATAGCATTTATTCTTAGCTTTTCAAACTGGAACTAAGGAGTTCCAATTTGCCAGTTCCTACTGACAGCTGCCTCATGTAATGTCTGTCCATATATTAGCTTTAGGTAACTATTTCTTACTTTAATATGTTAATGGAAAGTGATCCTCTACTAAAAGAGACCACACCAGTTCAGGCCTGGGAAGGTAAACCGCCACAATGCAAAATGACCTTTCATCTTTTCCTTGTCTGTTTTTTAAAATAGGCAGAATATAAGGCTTTCATCCTGAATAACAAACCTATCCAAATAACGTTAATGAAAATAAGACTTCAAACTTTTACTTTGAAGGAAACTACTTAATTTGTGGACTAACCATTTGATTTTCCTCATAAAGCCATACCATGTGTGAAAGTGTTGTGGTAGCATGTTTCTCCTCTGAATGTTGTAGTGCTCACCACTGCTCTTCTCCAGCAAATTCATATCTTTCTCAACTACCAAGAACAGAGAGAGAACAGATTTATTTATTTATTTATTTATTTACTATTTTAAAAATTAAGGGAAAGA